GTGGTTGTAATGTGACAAAATATGGAAAAGCTCAAGGGGTATGAATACTTTTGCAAACCACTGTATATACTGCTCAAAAAAATAAAGGGAACACTTAAACAACGCACGCTATCTCCCGATCTTAATCAATGAAATATTATCATCGCTGGGTTGGAATTTAGCTCCCCATCCTGGGCGGTATCAGGATTACCCCTGGTTCATTTCTGAGGCCCAACTCATAACATAATTTTAAAACAATTAGACGCTTCTGTATGTTTGGTTGTTTTTTTTTTTTTAATTTTATGGGTTGTTTTGTTAAATTGTTTTATGATTTCCGACAGTTCTTGACACTCTGTCCAGCTCCTGGTGAAGTTAGGTGGTTGTCAGCTGATCCTCCTCAGAGGCTCTTCCAACAGTAATTACTTTTATGATTTTGTTTTTCCTTTCCCAGTTTTTTGTGGGAAATATGAGGTGGGAATGCTCTGTTCATTTCATGCTCAAAACACCATGAAGGTAAATAGGGATGAGATATCCTGCATTCCCGTCTGGGTTGTGTCAAGTCCAGGAGCTGATGAGTGATGTCTTACATCTGGTTGATGACAGAGGGACTTAGCTTTAGGTCTTAGCGTTAACATTGGACTTTGCTTAGGTGTAACAAGAGGAGGGGGTGCTATTTCTTTAGTTTAATTTATTTAGACTTTTAGATTTAGCTTTTGTTTGTTATTTTTGTTGAAATTTTGTTTTTTTGTTTTTTTCTCTTTTCATTGCACAAGCCAGCTCATGCCAGTAATCCATACATTTGAGTTCATGCTTATGGGCTCTGTGGTTTTTGACTAGTGATTTTGAAACTTTCATTTTATGTTTTTATTTATTTATTTATTTTTTTGCTGCTTACTTTTCTGAGTTTGCAGAGTTTACCTTATGTATGCTCTGGTATTTTTAGAGTTTGATTTTTGTTTTTAAGACTTTGGATTGTTTGGGGCGGAATAAAGTTTACCTGAATGAGGTGGAAACTGAATTTTGCACATTTTAATGACATTTCCACATTTATTCATGAAGTTTTGTTGTCTTCATTTATCATTTGCTTTTGAACTTGTCCAATTTCTTTGCTAGAAGTTAATGCCTTCAGCATTTCTTCAACTTGCCTTGTCCTAATTTGCATTACTTAAGGTTCATTTATTGACAACTAGTTGTTATTAAGTTAACACATTATCCAAGATAAGATTCTGAGGGCACATACTCGGCTAATGCTATCATATTTGAAGGGGGCAGAACTTGTGTTTGCGATACCTTGTTAAATTTTGGACTCAAGTTTTTTAATTTTGGCATGTTTGTATTTTTTGACTCTGTTCGCACTGTTTTACATTGCTCTTGTTCCTTTTCCATTGGTGTTGATGCAGTTATGGTTACTTATAGATATGCAAATGTTTCTTCCATATTTTTTTACTTATTAATGGATGATCAGGAGGAGGGACTGTGATGGAAGAATATCTTATGACTCCCTAACTGCATATTACCTTGACATGTCCTGTTAGCAGGATGTATACAGTATATTGTCTGTTTCCTGTTTCCGGGTCAGTGTGAGCTTGACAGACGTTTCGATTCACGTCTGCCCTGCTCTGCTCATTCCTTGCATATGCATCTTTCTATTAAATAATCCGAGACCGAGACCACATAGTTTCCACTTTGTTTATTTCCCGCATCTCTGCCCTGGCGAAATGGCGCCACAACAATATGCATGTGGTTTGTTCAAATATGTATGTATTTTAACTTTGAATTGTTAATCAATCAGTATGTTAACCATATGGTGTGTTTCTGTATAGAATGCACAGAAGGCCTGTTTGCTAACTGTTATCATTTGTAGAAATAAGTGTTAACTTTTGTTTTGTGGGTTTTAAGTTAATTTAATGTGTATTTTCTTGTGTACAGTCAGATTGAAATTTAGTTTCCTAAGACTTTTGTTCAAGTCTTTTCTGTATTTTGGATAATAGAAGAACAAAATGAAAAGTACAAATGACTGCTATAGGTTTTTTTGGGATGTAGTTTATTCTCAAAAGTACAATGCTACAAAATTTACATTGCTCCAACCCATTTTCCAGGTTTGATTTACCATTTATTAACACACAGTATTTACATCGACTCAACACAGAAAACATTAGATTATATCATAGAGAATCAAATTCTCTTTTCTGTTGGTCCCATTTTGTTGTAAAAACAAAACTTAATAATAAAATCATCTTCTTGTGAACAGTTTTCTCAAATATTGTTCTTTAAATATTCAACTTAACAGAAAAATCAAAAAACAAGAATTAAATGTTTGTCTTAGAAAGAGAAATTTTAATTTAGAAACAGAATAACAAAATATTTTAATAACTTTTCTCTGTAGCAGGAAAATGAGATTATATCAATGAAAATTATTCAATAAAATTTTACATTTACAGTAATTAGTGATCATGATTATTATTCCTAGCTCAATTTTATAACATAAACATATTTAATTTAAAAGACCTGCGTTTGTATAGAACCTTGTCAAGTCCTCCAGGGACTCCAAAGCACTTTACACTACCATTAGTCATTCACCCATTCATCCACACACTGATGGTGATAAACTACAGGTTACAAACATTAACAGTGAACGTTTAGATTTCCTGATCCATCACAGTGGTTGTTTTCATGATCTAAGGAGAGCACAGAGTCACAGAAGAACCAGGCCAGAATCCAAACCCAGGATACAGAGGTTCGGTGAAGGTGGTGTTGAAGGAGTAGAGGTGGACCAGGGTGTCCGAGGACACTCTGTAGAAGGACAAAGTCCCAGCAGGATGGTCCAGATACACTGCTACTCTACTCCCAAGGCAAGATCGAGAGATGGGGATGACCTCCATCATGTTATCGTGATAGACGGTGTATAAAAGATTTGCACAACACTTCAAACTCCAGGACTGATCGTTCCCTCCAAACCAGGAGTCACTGCTCTGACCTGTCCGCCTGATCCCTCTGTAACTCACTGAGATCAGAACTAGCCCAGACCACTCCACCTCCCAGTAACAGCGACCAGTGAGACCATTTTTATACAGCAACTGGTTCCATTCAAATCTGTCTGGATGATCTGGATATGGCTGCTCCTCCGTCACTATCTCCACCTTCCTGTTGTTGTTAGACAGCCGGAGTTTTCTGCTCACTGTGTTCAGGTTCAGTTCAAGCTCACAGAAATCTGAGGAAACACAACAAAGCTACAGTTTGTTTCCATGGTTCAACTCATATTAAAAGCTAATGTAGGAGGTGAGCTTAAGGTGAATTAAGCTTCTCCCACCTCTCATACACGAGGTTATAAGGAAAACTTTTACCAAGGTATTTCTCATTACTCGTTAATATCTTGACTGTGCGAAGTGAAAAGAGACACAAGTGGAACACAGACGAGTTCAATTTTAATTCATAATGACTATGCAATCATTTATTTACACAAATTAAACAGATCATAAGTTACACTTGATTGTGGGTATTCCTATAACAAGCGTCAGAGTTAATGGGATCAAACTCGCATCTGACTTTCAGTCCACGTCACTCAAGATTACTTATATAGAACAATAAAAATGTCAGTTTTGATGTTACACAACCAAACAATTTTACTGGCACTTTAGCTTTAAGTTTTGGCAAATCAAAGAAATAAGAAAGAGGAGAAAAGTAATGTTAGTGTTCTACTACTTTTACTTTTATCAAAGTGTGAGACAACCGGAACTGCACGTCTTTTCTCGACTCAGGTCCACAATACACGTCACTCCAAACACGTCAGCTTTTACCTGATGATGGCTTCTTAAGACACCCTCGAAGTAGAAAAAACTGGCTTGCCTCCGATCAGTCAGAGAACTGTTGTCGGCTCGCTTACCGGTCATTGGCGAACAGGTGTTATTTTCAGGTAACTTTGTGTTTGCTTCAGTCCAAGCCAGAAAAATTCAAGCCGTATCCGGTTCCTCCTTCAAAATAAAACATCTCCCCATTGGGAGGTATAAAACACACTTAGAGGCTTGGAGCCTCGAGTTGGAACCACCGACAGGCGTGCCGGGTCCCTGGCTGTGAAATCCTCCCTAAATAGCTCATGGGATCAGATTTTCAGCCAAAGCTGAGGTTTCTCCGGAGAGAATCCCAGCTGTCTTCCTAGGTTGGAATCAGGAAGAAGAGTGTGATGCTCAAAGCCGTCCGGGTTAGTAATAAGAACGGATGACTTTGGTTCCGCCCTCAGGCTTAGAGATGAGTCAGAGAAGAAAGATAGAGACTTGCCAGTCAGGCGCCAGTCAAGGTTAAATTCTGTGGTTGTACAACATCGTGATAACCTCGTTAGCTTCTTTCTGATAGACTCTAAAAGAAATCACTGCAAAACGTTTATGATGATTAATTAACATTTCTATTTTATAATCGGCTTTGAACCATTCTTTTAGTCCAGATAAATGAAAGATTTTCTCAAGAAAAAATCCACAATTATATTACTGTGTTCACAGTAAAATAAAACAGTGATTTTCATAAAAACACAATGCAAACATTGTAATCAGATTCTCTGTGATTTTTTATACCATTATAAATCTTATAGGCACGATAAAAGAAAATAAGTCATTCCGCTTTTCCTGTGACAGGCATTATCATGATTTAACAAATGCATAAACATTCTTAGTTAAAMAACAAATGAATCACCAACAGAAGAGATTGTTCTGTCCATTATCTGATTAAGAGAACTGAGGAGTTCTTTTCACGATTAGAATGACCTGTCATGGCCTAAACAGAGTTCAGTTTGTGACAGAGTTCCTGTCCTCTCGTCAGGCCTGTCCGAGGCCTGCTTAGAGGCAGTAAATCTTGTTTCTTCACTCGAGGTGACCCCTACATTAAAAAAACAAAGAAACTAGATTTTTATTCTGAAGTTGAAGGTGTTTCAGTTCCATCTGTAGCGCTCATTTGTGGAGTTTCATGCCTTAAGCTTGCAGCTTCAAGCTGCATGAGAAGCTCTGTTTGTGCAACTAAATGTAATAAAGGTTTGGTTTATTTCTAATACTGTCCGTCTGAGTTGCAGGCACAGCCAGTTCATAAGTTCAAAGGAGTTTCTACTAATAAATGTGAATTACTTTTTAAATAATTTAAAATAGAATTGAAAACGTTTTTAGTGGTTCATTCTTGTTTATTTTTACTAATTTATAATTATGAGCAAGACAGAGCAACAACCCACATTTATCAATAAATTTTTCATATTTTATGTCCCTCTTGGTGGTGATTAGAACAGGCATCTATCTGTCTGTCCGTCCGTCCGTCCATGTACAGGTGCTAGTCACATAAGTGAATATCATGGAAAAGTTCATTTATTTCAGTAATTCCATTTAAAATGTGAAACTGTATATCTCATAAAATTAGAACATTGTGAAAAAGCTCAATAATGAAGACACCTGGTTTCACGTTACACCTGGTTTCACATTCTAATCAGCAAATTAACTCAAAACACCTAAAAAAGGCCTTTAAATGGTATCTCAATCTAGTTCTGTAGTCTATACAATCATGGAGAAGACTGCTGACTTGACAGTGTTCCAAAAGATGACCATTGACACCTTGCACAAGGAGAGCAAGACACAAAAGGTCATTGCTAGCTGTTCACAGAGCTCTGTGTCCAAGCACATTAATGGAGAGGCGAAGGGAAGGAAATGGTAGGAAAAAAGTGTACAAGCAATAGGGTTAACCGCACTCTGGAGAGGACTGTGAAACAAAACACATTCAAAATGTGGGGGAGGTTCCCAAAGAGAGTAAGCATATATATATATATATATATATA